GAAACATTTAAGTGTGACAAACAACTTTTTCACACAACTGTATATATATGTACATATATATATGTATTTATAAATAAAACAGTATAAACACACCTTCTTGGCCATGACATCTGACTCCTCTGAACTCTCTGTGTTCTTCTCGTACGCTTTTCCAACACGAGCCACAAAGTCCTTCACCGTCTCACACAGAACCCTGAAAGTACATACAGAGAGACATACTGTCAGAGAGAGAGAGAGAGAAAGACAGGCAGACAGACAGTCCGAGAGACAGAGAGACAGACAGTCAGAGAGACAGACAGACAGAGAGAAAGACAAGCAAACAGACAGACAGAGAGAGAGAGAGAGACAGAGAGACAGACAGTCAGAGAGACATACAGACAGAGAGAGAGACAGACAGTCAGAGAGACAGACAGACAGAGAGAAAGACAGGCAGAGAGAGAGACAGGCAGACAGACAGTCAGAGAGACCGACAGAGAGACAATCAGACAGAGAGACAGGCGGTCGTACTTCGCGGAGGAGATGACGACAGAGTGCTGGTCTGAGGTGAGGATCTTGGACAGGTGAGCAGCCACTGAGTCCTCATAGGTCAAAATCTGCTGAACCTGGATCAGACGACAAACACTGAGTCAGTACAGGTGAGCAGGTGTTTACTATGTTATTATTTCATTATGAGAAGGAATGTCTGATTCAAATCAACTTTATCGATATTATTAATGAAGCTAAAATACATATTATTTAATAATTACATGAAGAAAACTGAATGTGATAACAACAGCAGGAAGTGATGTAATTTCCTGTTACCTCAGAGTCGTCGCTACAGTATTCAGTGACGGTGGAGGCAGAATTTTGCCGTGGAAACTTAGTCTCATAGACCATAATACTCCACCTACAACAGGAGGAGATACGGTTACTTGTCTGACAGCCGTTACCTGTCTCACAGCCATTAACTGTCTCACAGCCGTTACCCGTCTGACATCAGTTACCCGTCTGACATCAGTTACCCGTCTGACATCAGTTACCCGTCTGACATCAGTTACCCGTCTCACATCAGCTACCCGTCTCACATCAGCTACCCGTCTCACATCAGCTACCCGTCTCACATCAGCTACCCGTCTCACATCAGCTACCGGTCTCACACCAGCTACCGGTCTCACACCAGTTACCTGTCTAACATCTTGGTGCTGGCTCTCTCCAGTTTCTCCAGTATCTGAGGCAGCTGTGTGTCGTCGTCACAGGCTGAACCCCACCCCAGAACCCGGGCCAGATCATTCCCAGTCCCCAGAGGAAGAACTCCCAGCTGACACTGGAAACAACAACACAATGAACAACATGTTGATAGATAACATAGACACTCAGATCTATTAATAATAATAATAATAATTAAAGCTGCGAGCAGCGATGAACGGGCCCTCGCACCTTCCCGCGTCTCGGGGGTACTGGCGGGACGCTGGCAGAAGCGGCCATAAATATCTGCGACCATCAGACAGCGTGCCCACAATTTAGACATATTTTTAATGCTTGGACTGTGTGACGCTGGAAATTATGTAGTGCAAATATTCCACCAGTTCCTGTATCCACTTTGTGACGCTAGAGAACACGCGCAAACATGCATTGTGTTGCTCTACATCAAGTATAGACCACATCATGTAAATGTCATATAAATCGGATTCAGTTTGTCACATAACGCTGTCTTCCTGTTGCCAGTAGGTGGCGCTATGACTTTGAGTGAAAATTGGCTTGTAGACATCCTCAGGCCATGACTGTTATCAAATATGGCAAGTTTGGGACAGATTTGAGCAAGTCCAGTGGAGTTACATCAGCTTGTTGTTTAATAGCGAATCACCTACAATGGCCGCCACGCCACGGCTACACCATTCCATCAAACGTAAAGGTTTGAGTAACTTTTAATAGCAAAGGTCTTTAGATTATACTGACCAAATTTGAAAAGGATTTGACAACGTCCCTAGGAGGAGTTTGTTAAAGTATAGCGACTAGAAATCATGGGAAAATTCACACAAAAATCAAAATGGCCGACTTCCCGTTAATTTTAGAGCATGGTCCCAAGAGACTTTTTTTTAAGTCTTCATGTGATACATGTGCCTACCAAATTTCATTTCATGTAGGTCAAACGTAGTGCTGGGGCTGCAATTTTGAATATTTGTAGGGGGCGATATCGAGGCAATTTGAAAGGGTCAAGCCAAAAAGCCATATGAAATATTTATTTCCATCACCTATGACACCTGTGCAAAGTTCCAAGGCTTGTTGAGCATCCTAAGTCACAGAAAAATAAGCTTAATTTTTCATGGTGAATGACGCGTTGCCACGGCAATGGGCGCCACATAAAATGAAGGTCGTTCAATGTCAGTAGACCATTTTAGTAACTTTTCATCATTAATATCTTTAGATCATCCTAACCAAATTTGAAGTCGATCGCATGAATTCTGTGGGAGGAGTTCGATAAAGTACAACGTCTGAAAATGATGAAAATTGACAAAAAAGCCAAAAATGGCTTAACTACTGTATCGCTCCCAAGTGGTTGAATGGATTGAAAATTGTAGGGTACGTAACAATATACGATGTGCACATATGAGACAAATTTTGCGATTATAGGTTAGATGGTTTTGAAGTTATGAGTGTTGAAAAACAAAGCCACGCCTTATAAAGTTCATTGGTCCATATCTTCTAAACGTAATGAGATATCAAACATCTTTTGATAGAATGTTATTATATAGATCCAATACTGATCCACAGCAAATTTAGTAGCAATCGGACTCAGCGTGTAGGAGGAGGTTGCAAAAATGTGTTTTTCAGAAAATGCAAAATGGCGGAAAATTTTGGAAGGCGGAGCTTAGGGGTCCAAGAGGCTTTTTTGTAGACCTCATTTGGTGGCATGCCTGTGTAAAATTTCAAGTTAATTGGACATACTGGATGAGGGGGCTAAATTCTAGGGGGCACTAGCGAGCAATATTTTCATGTTCAAGGATGGGACCCATAAAATATCAAATTTTTCAGCAGTCCTGATATTCTCGCCAAATATCGGGACGTTGGGGACATTATAAAGCCCCCAAAAAGGCATTTCATTCGAGAGAATAATAATAATAATAATAATAATTCCTACAGTTTCAATAGGGACCTCGCGGCCCGACGTTGTCGGTGCTCGGGCCCTAATAATAATACATTTTATTTATATAGCGCTTTTCATAATAATCAAAGACACTTTACATTAAAATCATCATATATATAAAAGCAATACACTAAAAACATAAAATACACAATAATGGTCACACATTAAAAGCAGTTTTGAACAGGTGGGTTTTGATTTGTGATTTGAATATGGAAAGGTCAGTGCAGTCTCGGATGTGTTTGGGGAGAGAGTTCCAGAGGGAGGGGGCAGATATGGAGAAGGCTCTGTCACCCCATGTCCGGTGCTTGGTCCCGAGTGGAAGGGACAGGAGGCATCAGAGGAGCGGAGCCGATGGGATGGAGTGTGGTGGTGAAGCAGGTCGGTGAGGTAGGAGGGGGCCTGATTGTGGAGGGCTTTATGAGTGAGGAGAAGGATTTTGTATTGGATCCGTTGTGGGACGGGGAGCCAGTGGAGGTTCTGGAGAACAGGGGTGATGTGGTCACGGGAGCGGGTGTGGGTGAGCAGGCGAGCAGCAGAGTTTTGGATGTACTGGAGTTTATTTAGGATTTTGGATGATGTGCCGTGAAGAATGCTGTTGCAGTAGTCAATTCTTGAGGTGATGAAGGCGTGGATCAGAGTTTCAGAAGCAGATAAGGAGAGTGATGGGCGGAGACGGGCTGTTTTTTAAGTGGAAAAAGGCAGTTCTGGCGATTTGTTTGACGTGGTGTTCAAAGGAGAGGTTGCTGTCGAACATGACTCAGAGGTTGCGGATGTCTGGGGAGGGAGACAGAGTGGAGTTGTCGATGGTGAGGCAGAAGTTGTGATCGGTTTTAGTGAGGGATGTGGGACCGATGATGATCATGTCAGATTTATCACAGTTCAGTTTGAGGAAGTTGGTTTGCATCCATGATTTAATGTCAGTGAGGCAGTTGGTGAGAGTGGAGTGAGTAGCAGTGGTAATGGCCTTTGTGGAGATGTAGAGCTGGACATCATTGGCGTAGCAGTGAAAGTGAAGACCATGTTGACAGATGATGTTACCAAGAGGGAGCAAGTAGAGGATGAACAGAAGAGGACCAAGCACCGAACCCTGGGGGACGCCTTGAGACAGAAGAGCAGTGGTGGAGGTGCAGTTGTTGATGCTGCTGAACTGCTGTCTGTTTGTGAGATATGATTTAATCCAGGAGAGAGCAGTTCCGGTGATGTTGAGGGAGGATTCGAGGCGGGAGAGAAGGATGTTATGGTTGATGGTGTCAAAAGCTGCAGTGAGGTCGAGGAGGATGAGAATGTTGAGGTGACCAGCGTCTGAGGAGAGGAGGAGGTCGTTGGTGACTTTGAGGAGGGCTGTTTCAGTGCTGTGCTGTGAGCGGAAACCGGATTGAAATGGCTCGAACAGATCGTTGGAGATGAGGTGGGCTTTGAGTTGTGTGGCGACAATGCGTTCCAGTATTTTTGACAGAAAGGGAAGATTGGAAATGGGATGGAAATTGCTCATGGTGTCAGGGTCAAGTCCAGGTTTTTTGAGGATGGGGGTGACAGCAGCCAGTTTAAGTGTGTCGGGGACTGATCCGGAGCTGAGGGAGGAGTTAATGATTACTGTGATGAGTGGTGAGATGGCTGGGAGACAGTCCTTGACCAGATTAGATGGGATGGGATCAATAATTAAAACACACCTGTTTGTGCAGCGTGAGAGCATCGATCTCAGACAGAACCCAGCCGACGCTGCCGTCTCCTCCACACACCAGGATCCTGAACGTATCAAACTTCTGGAACAAACGCAGACTGACAGACAGACAGAACGTTTTCACACCGACCTTTTAAGATAAAACACATCTTTCATGTAACACAGGTGTCTGTCTCTCCGTCTGTCTCACCCCAGGTGAGGTCCCCCATTCATCAGGTCAAACACCTGTGCCGGGTTCAGCAGCTGTTTGAAGCGTCTCAGGAACTTGATGCCCTGGTTGTCTCCACTCTTAGAGTTGACAAACACCAGCAGAGGACTGGTGCAGGACGGAGGACACGAGGCCTTCCAGAAACCTGAACACACAGACCAACATTCAGTGTGTTTGTTAACGCTGTCTGATGGTCGATCAGATGTATTGCTTAGGCTCACCGTCAGAGTCGATGCTGTTGAGTGCAGTTGGGGGGATAACTGACACTTTACATTGACCCAGAGGACACTTAGAGGACAGCTGCTCCTTACAGCCTGAGTGCACCTGGAGGACAGAAGGAAACACCTCAACATGTCTTTCCTTAGTATGTCACTTTAGAGTTACACAGCAATTATGTACACCTGATCTGAACCTGAACTATCACCTGATCTATCACCTGATCTATCACCTGAACTACACCTGAACTACCACCTGATCTATCCCCTGATCTATCACCTGAACTATCACCTGATCTATCACCTGATCTATCACCAGAACTATCACCAGAACTATCACCTGAACTATCACCTGAACTATCACCTGAACTATCCCTTAAACTATCCCCTGAACTATCACCTGAACTATCACCTGAAAATGAAAGCCTATTCTATGAATATGACTGCAGACTGCGTTCTTTGGACTCTGGAGGACTCCATCTCATTGGTTTATAGAACCGGTGTCTTTGGACTCTGGAGGACTCCGTCTCATTCATTCATAGAACCAGTGCTTCCAGTCTCACCATAGCTTTACACCAGAGACACCTCCAGTCCTGCAGACGGAGGACGCTCCCACAGGTTTTATCACAGACGTTACATTTAGCTGAGACCGGCAGGTTTCCCTCCAACCACTGATGAGGCATCGACACCTAAGGACAGAGGTCAGAGGTCAGCTGGAGATGAGGCGTTCACTGACACCGTTACAAGTCTGTGAATATGAGCGTCTCACCCCGTCCTCGTCCTCAATGATGTCTTTCCCAATAGAAGCCAAAGTCGTCCATTTACAGTTGTTGGTGGCTCTGACTGCACATCTCTTATGAGCCTTAAACTTACACACTGACATGCAGGCAGGCAGGTAGGCACACACACACACACACACACACACAATTAAACTGTGTGTATTAAGTTGTACTATGCGTGTACTGTGTGTACTATGTGTGTACTGTGTGTGTACTACGTGTGTAATAAGCGTGTACTGTGTGTACTACACCTGTATTATGTGTGTACTGCGTGTGTACTGCATGTGTACTATGCGTGTGTACTATGCATGTACTATGCGTGTACTATGTGTACTGTATGTGTACTGTGTGTGTGTACAATGTGTACTGTGTGTGTGTGCTACGTGTGTGTACTATGCATGTACTACGTGTGTACTATGCAGGTACTATGTGTGTACTATGCGTATACTATGTGTGTGTACTATGTGTGTACTATGCATATACTGTGTGTACTATGTGTGTGTACAATATGTACTATGTGTGTACTGTGTGTACTATGTATACTGTGTGTCAGTGGTGGGCCGTCAGGGCCTGCAAGGCCTTCTCTGCTGGCCTAAACAGAATCACAAAGCTATATCTATTTTATAATTTAATAATTGTTCTTAAATACACTACATGTATTATAATTTATATAAATATTTTCCCCATTATCTTATGTTCTCATTGCACAGCTACTGTCTTCCTCAGTTGCTCTGCTTCCAGTGCAGCTTGTTTTAAGTAGAGCTTTTATCCAATCAGATCTCACCTCTGTGTCTCTAGGTAAGAACAGAGGCAGAGGCCTGCAGACTCACAAGTGCATCCATGTGCAGTTTAAGTGAATGGGGACGATATTGTTGATTGTCATATTCTTCAACCAATCAGATCTTTAGTTTGACAGTTGGGCGTATTCTTTGATGTGCCAGAGCCTGCTAGCTGGCTTAGCCATACGTGATTGGTCAGTGGGCTAGCGTGACATGTTGGGCAGTGACAATCCCAATATCTGCTGCCTCTGTCGAGCGGACATTTCCAGCCTCAAACACATTAAAACGTGTTCAAGAAATACAACTGGGGAGGCTCGACTGTCTTCACTGGCGTCCATGAATGGAGAAGGACTTCTTACTGGAACTAAAACGCACGGATGTACTGAACAACCGTGAGATTAAACTCTTTGTTAATAAAGAAAGGAGGAAGAACAGCTAAATAGTGAACAGCAGCTCTGGTAAGTGAACTGCAGTAGCTTTAACTGCCATAAATATGATCCATGTCATCATTTAATAGGCTTGTTTATATTATATATTATTATTTATACAACTTATATGGATTTTCGTTTGGTTTTATATGTGATAGGAACTATTGTTAAGTCCTATGTTGCGCGGGGGACACATTTAGCCGGTGCACATCAACAAGATGATGCACGAAGCGGCAGCGGTCTATATACTCCGTGCAAAGTGTTAAAGTTAAAGTGTTAAAGTTAAGTTTAAGTTTTTAAGTGATCTACTTTGAAGGTTCATGTGTTTTCAAGTGGACTCATTTTCCCTCTCGGTGTTGACAGACTAATAAATCCGTCAGTAACAAGAACTATGGAGTCGTGTATTTCCTGGAGGGAGTGATAGGAGAGTTACTACTCTGTTAATTTGTCTATCGTGTCGTTTTCATGATATGGGTAATATTGTTCCCTCTGATATGAATAATATTTGAATGGCCCGTGCTCTTGAGTGTGTGGCGGAATGCACGTTTTAGCTGAATTGATTTTGACTCATTGTTCGTTAATGCCGCCGCATCCCATCATGCGGGTATTCATGTATCTGCACTCGTAGTGCATTTGTAGGTGGTGGGCTTCATTTTCACAAGTGCAGGCCCAGGTATAAAATGCACGGCCTGCCACTGCTATGTGTTTGTACCATGCATGTACTGTGTGTGTACTATGTGTGTACTATGTGTTTGTACCATGCATGTACCATGTGTGTACCTTCACAGGACAGCCCGTGGGACGTCACCCCTGATAACGCCTCTCTGCACACGTTGCAGTACGTCGGTCTGGCGTGAGAACAGGCGTACCAGTTGTGCATCCCGCTGAAGTGGTCCATGCTGTACTGGGTGGACTGGGAGAGAGGGACACACGGTCAGCAGCTGGTACTGGTACCAGCTGCTGGTCTAACTGGTAACAACACAGAGACAGACCTCGTAGTTCTGTCTGTTCTGGACGCTGCGCAGAGCTGCCATCCACTCCTCCATCTCCTTCCTGTTGTCTGCACACAGGATGAGACGTCTGCACGGGGTGATGACCTAAACACACACATATACAGAGACACACACACACACACACACATATATATAGAGACACACACACACACACACACACACACACACAGGTTAGCCCTCAGTATTTACTGGTTGTATTGTTGTTGATGCAGCTGGATCAGCAACAGTGTGTGTGTGTAATTTCCAGAGAAACAAACGTTGACATCTACTTCCTGTTCAGCTGCTCCACAATAAAGCGCCCGTTCCCACAGTGACAGAAATAGACACACACACACACACACACACACACACACACACACACACACACACA